GATACTTAACAACAACAACATCAAATATATACTGAAGATTTAGAAAATAATTTGCAAAGTTTCTGATTCCCATTGATGGAAAAAGCATTTATAATATGATTTCAATTTTACATAATTTAATGGTAATTAATCTTACGTCTGTGAAAATTAATAATGTATACTGTATAAAGATTGATTAATGTCTGAAACTTTAAAAATTCTTCCTTGTCAGCAAAGTGAGAATATAGCTTACAATTATAAAATCATGTTGCTTTTTCAACATATCAGAATTCTACATCTAAGAAAAACATTATCAATATAGATCATTGGTAGTGGTTATGTGCCGTGGAGTTGTTTCTGACTCATAGTGGTCCTGTACAGGGTTTCCAAGGCTGTAAATCTTTATGGGAGCAGAAAGCCTCATCTTTCTCCCACAGAACAGCTGGTAGTTTCTAACTGCTGACAGTGAGGTTCGCAGCCCAATTCGTAACCACTACTCTACCAGAGCTCCTAATATAGATAATTAGAAACATATTTAACTAAATTCCCAAACTTAGGTAGTATTTTTAGTGGTATACAGAACTCATTTTAGCTAGTTTTAAGTAGGATCAAGTTTCATGAAGAACTTTAGGAAGATCATAGACTATCTGGGAGAGAGAATGTCTGCTTTGGGATAGGAGATGCCAACAAAGAAGCTCAAGCTGCATATTGGGACTGTCTGATGAATACCATGTGGCGATATTCTAGAAAAGTCACTGTGAGTCAGAACCAACTCAACAGCAGTTAAAAATAACAACAAGGAAGAATCTACTAATTCTTTACACTGTCATCCACTGCCATAGCACGGGTCAGAAGGAAACCCAAAAAACAAATCCAGTGCCATCATGTCTATTCTGACCTTATACAGTGTTTCTGGGATTCCTGGTGTGATGCTCCAGGATAATGCACTGGACTGTAAGACTAGTTTAAATTGCAAGGTTAGTTGTTCAAACCCACCAGCTGCTCCTTGGAAATCCTATACAAGGTTGCTATGGTACAGAACCAACTCAATGGTACTTA